GCGAAATGGTTTTAAGCAACACGAAATTGCTTTTCCTTCCCTTTAACAGGAAGGAGGAAATAATATATTTAAACTTGTTATGAAAAGTAAGACAACTGAGCAAAATCACTGTTAATTTTTTCGCTTCTCAGAAAGTTTAAATTTGGTAAATTTTATGAAAAATGGAACAAAAATTGAAGCTGAAGAGTTCTTCAGTCGGCTTGTCAAATGAAATTTCTGCTTGCTGTTAAATTGACTTTTTTCTCACCAAACTCAAACTATAAGTTTTAACGAATTTATTGGACAGCCTCTTAAGTTTTTGAAATGTCAAAAGTTAATTTTTTTTAAAGTTTTCGAAATCTCTGAAAAGCGCAACCGTTTTGCATTGTTTTTGTTAGAAAAATTTTTATTTAGAAAAATCAATTCAAATCAACAAAGTTCAAATATTCTGAAATGGGTCGCCTGCTCTTTTTTTTCATTAATTCAGTCTATTCCTATTTTTTTCTACTTATCAGAGACCTGATTTGAAGTTTTAGGGTAAAATTTATGCGCTAGGTATTTTTGAAAATAATGGCATACAAGCAAATCATTGATGTATTTGCCAAAAAGTTTCATGCTTCAACTGAAAATCGCAGAAAGTCGATAACGAAATCTTAATTAAAAAGTTCCTATGTACTAACAAAAAATCGATCCTGCATTTAAAACAAGACTGCTCGTATCTCAGGGGAAAACAATAATGCTCCGCTGCCCTCTTTTGTCAATCACAAGCTTTTTGAATAACAATATTGCAAAAATGAGAAAACTTTGAATCAAGGCGGATTTAGGAGGGATTCGACTCTGTACTGTTTTGAGATATAAATTTTTGGTGACTGACCCTAAAAAGTTTCTAGCGGCGCCTTAAATATATACTAATTTTGAGGAGGGGGGGAGGGACCGTGCGCCGAAAAAACGCAATTTTTTGGCGAAACTTTTTCAAAAGATGCCTAAGAAGGCCATTTTTGGCCTGTTTTTCCAAAACTAATGAGCATTAATTATCACAATTTGAATTATTGTCGTCAAAGTATACCCTAACTCATACCATTTTATCTTTGTCAACACTCACCGCAAATGATATCTTTCCGTTAAAAAGGTTTATTTTAAAAAAATGAAAAACAAACGGCCGAATGACAAAACCATCTTAAGCATTAAATATTCCGCATTTTGTAGAATCTTGGAAACATAAACATTAAAATATATTACACTTTCACTGTTTTTTTGCATCTTTGTTTTGAAACGGAAGAACCCCTTCATATATTGTTAAAAATTAAAGATGCAAAAAACAGTGAAAGTGTAATATATTTTAATGTTTATGTTTCCAAGATTCTACAAAATGCGGAATATTTAATGCTTAAGATGGTTTTGTCATTCGGCCGTTTGTTTTTCATTTTTTTTAAATAAACCTTTTTAACGGAAAGATATCATTTGCGGTGAGTGTTGACAAAGATAAAATGGTATGAGTTAGGGTATACTTTGACGACAATAATTCAAATTGTGATAATTAATGCTCATTAGTTTTGTTCTATCAAATCGTAATCAGCATAATGTATCCTTCAAAACGAACTGAGGTGAGCAACTTTCTTGCTATTATTGCGTTACTTCACGCAAAGAATATAAATAAGTTAATAAATAAATTTGTAAAAACCCTTCAAAACAGGGTTCTTCCGTTTCAAAACAGAGTAATAAGACTAAGTTTTATTTCTGATGGACTATAAAACTTGGGCTGAATCTCCAGCTGAGATAAACGACTGAGAAAAAGGAACAAGACTGCTCGTATCAAGGCAAAACCTTGAATGTCCCGACTGCCTATGAATCAGTAACAACATGAAATTAAATGTAATAAAACAAAACTAACTTTTTTTTCCAAATTTATTCTGAAAACCATCACCCACACTCCATTTAGAGTACAAAGTCATAGACTTCGCTCCTAATAACAAATCAATTATGGTAAATGGGTTTCCTTGAACCGTTTTCGAATGACTTCTAAGTCGGATTAAATCTCCGCTTACGCGTAATAGCGCGAAATAGATCGGACGTTAATTTTCTCAAATTGGCCAAAACAGCAAACTTTAAACCCCATAACTTAACAAAAAATGATCACAGTTGAATTATTTTTTCCAATTTAAGCTCAGGACACATAACCTTTTGAATGATAATAAAAAAAATATGTCAAAAATGGCTAGTTAAGAAGTCGAAATTTGTCTGAAGAAAAAAAACCTACCCCGAGCACAAACATTCCATTACTTTCGTTACGAAAGTCGGAACATTAATAGAGTGAACTTCTAATTTCTATTACTTTGTTTTAACTACTCTCAGAGAATCAGAAGACAAAAAAGCTTCAGGATGCTTTTTTCAAGCAGAAAGCAGAAACTCGATTAACTCAATTTCAAGATAAGTTTCAGATTTTTTTGCGCGTCGTTTTTTGTTGCAATTTGTTTGCTTAACAATTTGTCGCAAAGTTTTCAAAATTTTATTTTACTTCTCCACAATGAATCAATTTTATTATCCTATAACTTCTACAAACTCAGTTAAAAGCAATTCTAACTATCTTTAGGAGTAAATCAACCTTATTCCCTATAATACTTCTAATAATCGTCGACTTCTCCCTAATAATCTCCTTCTAATAATCTTCGACTTAATTTGCAGAATTAACACGATAAAAAAGTATCTGGAAGTTTGAAAAACAAGTAAAAACACCAAACATAAAAAAAGTACCAAACAGCAAAAAATTAGAATATTAGAATATCAGCGAATTTTTTTCAAATTTTCTAGCAGTCAAAACTATTTGTTAAACAACAAAAAACACGGCGCAAAATTGTATTTTTGCACTGAATGTTGTATCTTAAAACAAACTTAGAACTTAGCTTTCATACAGCCATTTTTAAAAAAAAGTCGAATATTTTTTTAAAATTTGAACGAACAGTAAGTAAGAAGTGTTTCAGTGAAACAATACAGAGTTTCTTTGAATATTGTTTTCCTAGCTTTTTTTCAAAAATAACTGTAATCAAAAATCACTCTGCTGCTTATACAACAACCAGGTATTTTTCTCTCATTGAAAGGGCCATGCACACCAAACAAAGGTCATGTTCACAATAGTTCTAATACGGTATTTTTCAATTTGCAACTTTTTAAAGCAGTTTACTTCTCTTGAAAATTATTTCTAATTTGGTTGGTGTAGTTTTTGTTATTGCGACGCGAATTTCATAACTCCATAACGCCCATTATTTTTAGCGACCATCAATTTTTTTTGTAGTGAATGGCAGACTTTTGATGAGCTTCAAAAGCAAACTTGTAGATTGACAACGACTAAAAAATTTTTTTTCTAATGATTTGACGTTTTTCGGCTGTGGCGGTTGATTCAATTTGATTTAAACCTGCGAGCTTAGAAACCATTGTTAAGAACGCTGCAAAAGGGAGTGGAGAGTCTCTTTCAAACTCAGACCTCCGTTTACAAAAATCTGAATAACGAAAAAGAAATCAAACCAAGTTTTCTTAATCATGACCGGTTTTTTGGAAGTAAAATCACAAACAAAGGGGTTTTTTGTGGTAGTTATTTCAACCACATGCAAAATTTGCTCACAGAAACAAAAACGGACAGAAAAACCAGTACGATGAAGTGTTTACTTGATCCGAAGGACGGGGAAAAATAAACTGGGCAGTTAGTGACTCCACTGATCTAGAGAAAAATATCCATAAAAATTGATTAGTTTATTCATGATTTTAAAACACTCACTGTTGTTTTGTATTGCAAAAACACTAGATATAATATTAACAACTAACGAACTGTATATTTACCTTCTTTCCAAAATGACTTTGACTGACCTTGAAATTAGTGACTAGCCTCGAGAAACAGCGTTTTGTTTGATAGCTTTTTTTTTCAATATTTTAACAAATACTGTTTTGTAATAGCTTTCAAAAGCATTAAAAAACAATCGTATTAATGGAATCTGTATCTTTAATTTTTGTAGGATAAATCTAACCGTGACTTACCAAAAATTAGTGACTGGCCTTGAGAAACTGTCCTTTGTTGGATTGTTTTTTTAAAGATTTAAACAAACTTTATATTGTATTAGTTTCCAAAAGCACTATATATACAATCAATTTAATCAGTGCAAATTGTTTAATTAGCCTTTTTTGTATTATAACATCAGAAACAGAGAACGTTCGTAAGAAAGAGTTCATTGCTTGATTGATTTTGTTTTTATTTTGGTCAATCACTGTTCTGTTGTATTCCAAAAACACCAGATATACTATCTCATAAATGCAAACTGTATGATGAGCCTGTTTTAGGATAACACTGACTTTGACTCACCATGATTTTAGTGACTGACCTTGAGAATGAATCGATTGCTCGATTAATTTGTTCACCAACTTATAAACTCTCTTTTTTAACATTTTCCGAAAATACTTAATATAGAATCCCACATATGGGAACTGGATGATTGAAATTTTTTATAGGACAACACTGACCTTGACTGACTAATAAAATAGTTGACCCTGAGAAAGATTCCATTGCTCGATTGGTTTGTTCATAATTTTATTAGGTTCTCTATTGTTTTATATTCTAAAAAAACACTAGATATACAATCTCATGAACGCAAACCGAAGGATTATGTTAACAATGACCTTGATTGACCTTGATTATAAACTAAGCAACTGGCCTAGAGAAAGAGTCCATTGCTCGATTGGCTCGTTCAAAGTTCAATTAATTTCTCTATTGTATTCTTTTTAAAAACACTGGATATACAACCCCATGTATGGAAAGTGAAAGATTAGGTTACAATGACCTTAATTGACCTTGACTATAAATTTAGTAACTGACCTTGAGAAAGAGTCCATTGCTCGATTGGCTCATTCAAAATTTAATTAATTTCTCTATTGTATTGTTTTTTAAAAAATACTAGATATACAACCCCATGTCTGGAAACTGGAAGATTAGGTTACAATGACCTTAATTGACCTTGACTATAAATTTAGTAACTGACCTTGAGAAAGAGTCCATTGCTCGATTGGTTTGTTCATCATTTTGCTACTGCCTCTGTTGCACTGTGGTGGGTGCGGTCGTAGTTTTTGAGGCTTCTGAGGGTGGGGCTGGACGAGCACAGCGTCTCTGCATCTGAGCTGACTATGGACTATGGACTATGGACTGGGTAATGTGTAATGTTTTCTTTTGAATCTGTTTAATTTCGTAAAATTTATATCAAATCAAGTTACAATCTAACTGATTGTGTCGGTTTCTCTTCTCTCCTAGTTTTGCGAAACTCGTGGGTTAAAAATAAAAAGCACAGGATAAAATGTGTGAGATATGGGACTGTTTTGCAGGTTGATAATACAGCAAACGCGGATAGACAAGACTAATTATAACTGCGGATAGATACTTGAATTGGGAAAGGAGCAGCGGGAAATTTCAGTTTTCACCTGAACACTAGCCAATTGCCAAATAAGAATTTTAAAAAAATCGGCCCCGTCAATCTTCTATTTGAAGCTAAATTGATCAAAGAAAATTCAAAAAAAAAATCCGCAAGCCTCAAATAAAATAATTTCCAATGGAATAAATTCAGTCTATCGGTATCTTTTCGTTAATTCAGACATTGTGTCGTCATCACAGGTGTCCATAGTTGCAGGCGCTATTTTCATGTCGTTGAAGCCATAATATACAAGTCTTTCTATTCTTATGGACATAAAAACTCAGGTTTTTGGTCAGTTCATACAACACATAGCGATATAGTATAATGGCGTGCTAGGGTTCATCGAGGAACTTGGAACGTGTGGAACTGTTAGGCACCTGGAACTTCTCATTCCAGAGTCTGGCTAAGGTCAGTTCTGTGATCTTCTGAAAAGAAAAGCAGAATTATACAAAATTTTATCCTCTTTATGAGCAGGGGCGAATCATGAGGTTCGCAAAGGGGGTGGTGAGCTTTCAATATATGTCAAGATTTTCTTGAAATTGACATTTGTCACATTTTTGGACATTTTAAGTGCAAAATGAAAAGTCTCGTCAAAACTGAGAGCTCATAAGAAAACCATATCAAAACTGGAAAACTATCTGCTGTCTGGAAGTAATCGTCCATTCTATTTTTGCTTTTAATATTCCGCACAATGAACTCACCTTCAAAACTGGTGCTTGGTACATTGTCTTTGGAATTTTTAAATACTAGCTCCTACAAATTGCTTGCATCATAAATCATTTTTAATTTTGAATTTTTTCCCCAGAAATGTCTTATCGTATTTTAGCTCTATGAACCAAATCTCTGCCAAGATTCGTGAGTTGCCTTCGCAGAATTATGTTTGTCTTTTTGACCTCTAGCAGATATTATAGGGCTTTCTATTACTGCTTATGAGATAAGATATAAATCACGACTTAATAAACTGTCTGGTCTATGGATTAATTTTATCCTGGATTTTTTAAATTATCAAGAAATTAGTATCATAAAACGAACACGAAAACTTCAAGCTCAACTGATTCAAAAATTATTAGTTTTTATTGTTTATTGAAGAATGATGTGGTCATAAAATTTTATAGTGGTGGAAAATTATTGTCATAAAACCCTATTAAGTCGAACATTGTAAAAAAAACAACTGAAAGATTCTTTTTTTCAGAAATGTTGAGAGTACTTGAGTACTGTAAAACCTTGTCAAGAAAACTTGTCAAGACTCGTCTCTAAATTTTCTGTTTAACAGCATTATTAGCATAGATGTGTTGTTGGAAGCCATAAGCTGAAAAATTTGTCAAATCAGGTAATTTTCGAAAAGTTGGACGACCTAAAAAGGAAAAAAGTAGACAATGAGGTCAAAAAAATCCTATATTTGCCGTTTAAACTGTGAAAAAACAGCAATCTTTTCAAAAAAAGTGCTAATCCGATAACTCTTAAAGCAAGCATGAAAAAAGGGAGAACCAGTTTGCTAATTTGGAGACCCAATCGAAAAAAGAATTACTTTAAGCTACACGTATACAAAATGATTCACTGGTTCAAAAATAATGCTTTTATTCAACGTATTTCTTTAAAGTGTCATAGGCCTAAGTTTCAGACAACGTAAAGCACTGGATCTTTTGAAAAACTTATGCTTAATTCCAACTACCAAAATTCTGCAAATTAGGCAAGAAGGATTAGTTTTTTGGAGCAATACTTAGCACTTCATTCGTATAACCTTGAACAGGATAGCTGCTGATCTTCCTCAATTTGAAGTTATATGATAAATCCTCTGATAATGTTTATAATTATTAATCTTTTCGCAAAGTTGTGCACAAATATTGTTCTTGGTTCCCGGGTTGACAAAAAAGCTGTTGGCCGACATAAAAGAAAGTTCCATTGAGGTCAAAAAAATTCTAGATTTATCCCTATGCACTTCCAACAAACAGCAATTTTTTCAAAAAAGAAGCTAAATCGGAAATTCTGAAAGCAAGCATAAAAAACGAATATTTATTCTGCTAACTTCCAGACCCAATTGAAAAAAAAAGATATATTTGAAACTTCTTGCGCACAAATTGATCCACTTGTTTGAAAATTTTTTTAATCAATTTTTTTTGAAGTGTCATTTGTCTGAGTTTCAGTCAACGAGATGCACTGGATGTTTTGAAAAAATTTTTCTTATTTTTCGAACTACGAAGATTTGAATTTTTTCCAAGATTTTGCGAAATAAGCAGAATGGATTAATTTTTTTTGCAGCAATATCGAACACTTCATTTGTAAAAATTTAACCAAAATAGCGTCTTTTTTAGTAAATTTGATAAAAAGTTGATAAAACCTGATATTACCAGAAAAAAACCTCTAAATTTATAACTACCTATTATTCTTGTTTGAAAATCCTGCACAATTACTGTTCTTGGTTCCCCGGGTTGGCAAAAAAGGAGGTTGAACGACTTAAAAGAAAGGTAATCAATAAGGTCTTAAATACCCAAGCATTTCCGTTGTTCACTGTGGAAAACAGCAACCTTTAAAAATAGAAGCTAATTCGATAACTCTTCAAGCAAGACTGGAAAACGGAGAATAGTTTTGCTAACTTCGAGAACCAATCGAATGAAAAAGAATTACTTGAAACTACACGTACACAGAACGAGTCACTAGTTTGAAACGGATGCTTTTCACTAATGTTTTTCTTTAAAAACTTGAAAAGTTTCAAATTTGAATTAACTCAAATTTCAAATTAATTTCAAATTTGAATAATGCAAAAATTATTTCGAAAAATTAGTTTTTTTCCAACTACTAAGAACGGACCAATTTTTTCCGAGATGCTGCGATTTAGAAGAATGATTAGTTTATTTTTGAAGCAAAAACGCGCACTTCACTTGTAATTTTACCCAAGATAGCGGCTGATCTTTTTAAATTTAAAATTTTTTGAGAAATCTGCAAAAACTTATAATAACTAAAAATCTTGTCGCAAAATTTGCACAGTGATTGTTTTTGGTTCTCCGGGTTGACAAAAATGCGGTTGGACAGTTTAAAAGCAGGGTAGACAATAAGGTCTTAAAAACCCAAAAATTTTCCTTGTGCACTGTGGAAAACAGCACTCTTTAAAAAAGAAGCTACTTCGATAACTCTTCAAGCAAGAACACGGAAAACGGAGAAAAGTTCTGCAAACTTCGAGAATCAATCGAAAAAAAACTTGAAATTACACGCACACAAATTAATTCACTGATTCAAAACTGATGCTTTTAACTAATGTATTTTTTAAAGTGCCATGAGTTTGAGTTTTGAGTCAACGTAATGCGCTGTAACTTTTTTCCAATTACTAAGATTCGACTATATTATTTCCAAGGTTCTGCAAAATAGGTAGAAAGAGTTTCATTTTTCAGAAGCAAAATGGGCACTTCAATCGGATAACCTTGCCCAAGATAGCAGCTGATCTTTCTAATTTTAAAATTATATGATAAACCCTCTAAAATTGTTAAAAACTAAGAATCTTGTAACAAAACTCTGCACAATGATTTTCCGTCGTTCCCCGAGTTGACAAAAGTTGCGGTTGGAAAATATATAAAAATGGACAATGAGATCAAACAAATACTCGAATAACGTCTATGCACTGCAGAAAAACAGCAATTTTTTCAAAAAAGGAGTTCAATCGATAATTCTCGAAGCAAGCATGAAAAACGGAGAATAGTTATGCTAACTTCCGGACCCATTCGAAAAAAAACTAATTGAAACTACATGCCACAAAATAATCCACTGGCTTAAAATTTTTGTTTTAAACAATTTGTTTCCTTGAAGTGTCATGAGTCTGAGTTTCAGTCAACGTAGTGCACTGGATCTTTTGAAAAGTATATGTTTTTTTTCTTTTTACCACGGTTTAATGAAATTTTCTGCAAAACTTTGCAAATTGGGCAGAAAACCTGAGACCTTTGAAGCAAATTAGAAAACTGTATGCGTGAGAGATTACTCAAGATAGCGGCTAATCTTTTTTTAAATTTATGATTATATATTAATAACTGAAAACCTTGTCGCAAATTTTTGCACAATAATCGTCTAGGTTCCCCGGTTGATACAACATGCGGTTGGACGACCTATAAAAAAGAAGACAATGAGGTCGAAAAAATACTCGAATAACGTCTATGCACTGCAGAAAAACAGCAATTTTTTCAAAAAAGGAGTTCAATCGATAATTCTCGAAGCAAGCATGAAAAACGGAGAATAGTTATGCTAACTTCCGGACCCATTCGAAAAAAAACTAATTGAAACTACATGCCACAAAATGATCCACTGGCTTAAGATTTTTGTTTTAAGCAATTTGTTTCCTTGAAGTGTCATGAGTCTGAGTTTCAGTCAACGTAGTGCACTGGATCTTTTGAAAAGTATATGTTTTTTTTTCTTTTTACCACGGTTTAATGAAATTTTCTGCAAAACTTTGCAAATTGGGCAGAAAACCTGAGACCTTTGAAGCAAACTAGAAAACTGTATGCGTGAGAGATTACTCAAGATAGCCGCTAATCTTTTTTTAAATTTATGATTATATATTAATAACTGAAAACCTTGTCGCAAATTTTTGCACAATAATCGTCTAGGTTCCCCGGTTGATACAACATGCGGTTGGACGACCTATAAAAAAGAAGACAATGAGGTCGAAAAAATACTAGAATAACCTCTACGCTCTGCAGACAAACAGCAATTATTTCAAGAAAAGAAGCTAATTCGATATTTCTTAAGGCAAGCATGATAAACAGAGAACAAATTTGCTAACTTCGAGATCCAATAAAAAAAGAAATATTTGAAATTAAATTAACACAAAACGAATTACTGGTTTGAAATTGATGCTTTTAATCAATGTATTTCTTTAAAGTGTGATGAATTTAAGCTTTGATTCAACGTAATGTACTGGATCTTTTGAAAAAATTAATTTTTTTTTCCAAACACCAAGATTCGAATAACTTTTTTTCCAAGATTTTCCAAATTAGACAAAAAGGATTAACTTGTTTTCGAAGCAAAAATAGGCACTTCACTTGTATAACTTTGTCCAAAATGGCAGATGATCTTTCTTAATTTCATATTATATGACATATCCCCTATATTTTTTAATAACTGAAAATCTTGTCAAAAAATTCTGTACATTGATTGTTCCTGGCTCCCGGAGTTGACGCAAAAAGCGGTTGGACGACCTATAAAAGAGGAACCTTGAAGTCGAACAAACACTAAAATAAACTTTAAGCACTGCAGAAAAATAGCATTTTTTTTTTAAAAAAGAAGCTAATTCGATATTTCTTAAGTCAAGCATGAAAAACAGAGAAGAATTTTGTTAGTTTTGAGAACCAAAAAAAAAGAAATATTTGAAATTAAATAAACACAAAAAGATTTACTGGTTTAAAATTGATGCTTTTAATCAATGTATTTCTTTAAATTGTCA